ATTAATGATGTTATTAATACCAAGAACCTTGATAAAAAATTAAAAAATAATAAAATTTTAATCAATGGAATAGCAAAAGTTAGGATGAGAACCTAATTTCACCATATTAAAATTATACCATTAATTAGTTTATTCATATTAAAAATATATTAAAAATATATGGATCACGATCACAGTGCCAATGTAAAATTTAAACCACAAATTAGTCTACTAAAAACCATTACTCATAGTCGAGCCATCGCAACGTGTCCAATTTTCTCTTAATTAATGAAGAATAAAACATAATCTAAGGAAATGAAATGGGTCCATGAGTCGAATTCAAATGCATACATCGAAGGTTTGTCCAGATGCATTTGAAATAGGGTTGGGACGATGGAATATATCCAGAAACAAGCATGTGAGTTGTTACTGGCTTACGTCGTCACATAGTGGCTATGGATGAAATTCTTCTTACCTACCTGATCACTATCAACTCTCTATTATTTTTTTTTAAGAAAAACACGTGCATGCATCTTCCTCATTCTTCAATAGAAATGGGAAAAAAACAAAAACATACTGTCGATTGGGATTTTTCAAGGAAATTTCTTCAATGTTGAATAATACGTAAAAGGAAGGACTAATTGTGTACGAGTGTCGCATGCAGCTGCAGATACAATAAGTGAGAACGGTTTTTTGAATGGGTGGAGAGACAATATAGCAAGTTTTGTTTGTGTGGCTGAGTCGGACAACATGAATCATGGGTCTGGGTTGATATAAAAATTCATCCCCCCTTGCAAGGAGTGAGTGTTTGATATTGTTGGTGTTAACTTTGTGAGTATAACACTCGTCACATATCATGATCATACGATAATTTGTAAAATGTAAATAAGCACAATTTGTCAAGTGATGCAAAAATCATATTCTTAGAAGACTCCCAACTACTATGCTTGATATTGTCTCCTTGAATTACTTAATTTTATAAAAAAAGAATCATTAACAACTAGATCCTCTTTGTTAAATTTGATTAAGAAACTCATAATACAAGTTTGTCCATCTGAAAGCTTCTGAAACTACTTGCTAATATAGAATCCATAGACTAATGTTTAGTGATACTTTTATTTCCACCACATATTGAATAGCATGCAAAGCAATTGAACATTAGGTGATATCACTATTGTTCCATCTGTGTTTGATCCAATTTATTCATGCATCCCTTAACGTAAATATAATATTGTATTAGAAAAATAATGAAGATTTGATCTCAAATGCAATTGGTAGAATAGTATACACTTTACTGCAGCGATGAAAAGTAATTATGCGTATGCACTCTGGTGCATGTTCATTCCTCACGAATTCATTTTTTCCTTAACAACTAACTATTTAACCAACTATCAAAATCGCTCTACTAAAAAAATGCATCTTATTGAGTAAAAATGTTTTATGCAGGGAGACAATCCATGCTTAATATTTTTTAGTTTAAATGCTAGATTACAAAGTCAACATAGTTCAAATTCACGTCGTGGTGCAAGGGCCACAATTCTCTCTCTCATAATAGGAGGTAGATTGTCAGCTCTCCTGTTATGGTGTCCTTCCTATCCTATTTTATTTGTGCGGTTACGGTTAAGTCAAGTCAACATTTTATATTGATTTTTTTATAAAGATAATAAAATAAAAAATAATAAAAATATAAAATATTAATGTGACTTAATCGTGACTATACAAATAGAAAATGATGAGAATATCACAATAACAGGAAAGGAGACAACTCCCACATAATATGTTTTCTTTTCCTATTGGCCGCCCCGTAAATTACTGACTTTTGGGTGCGAAGTCAAAATTTAGGCACCCAATTCAACTGCATCACGTTTCGTTGCGCAAATAGTCAAATTTCTCCAGCTTTCCGGCTATTGACTTTGGTGCCAACGCAGTCAATTCATGAACATTTGTGGACAATCAGTCCCAATCCCACGCGTGCCCATTGCACGTGTCCAAATACAAATTAACAAATTTGATTTTGTTTTGGTCCCCCATAGTCGTTAATGAATTAAAATGGCCTTTAGTTACGGTGGAATCATCCTACTATTATGCCAATTAAATTGCTAATAATATTGCTAGGTCTTTGCTAATTGATTGATTACAAAAATTTCAATGTCGAGGAAAAAAAAAACAACTAAATATAGGCAGGCACTAGCCTACAACTAGAAGCAACATTTTTTTTTGTCAATCAACTAGAAGCAACATATTTCTTAACCACTTGCTGATATTGTTCCTAAAATTTTAAGGTGCACACTGACTGCGTCCGATACTAATAAATATAAGTATAATCATACGATAATACATAACTTGTTCAGTACTACTAAAATTATGTAGAACTCATTATACTTTAAAGCTGAAAGACCTCTGAAGATAATATATTAATACATGACGTGTGTACGAAGCTTTTTCATCTTATAATGTATTGTTATCTCAATCAACATTGCCATGTAAAAACATTCTCGCACATTATTAAGCGCTGCCTAAAATTGCTTGCTGAAATGGGTGCACCTCCTTTTTCAAGTTTTGTCAACAAAGCTTATCGAACGCATCGGTTGCTCATCACGTCGGCAGCCTCCCTAAACCATTTGTATCCATTACTTTTGTGTGTAATCATGATTTTTGCACATGAACCTACTTTCTAATATCATGCATAAAATTACATATGCATTAACATCTTTTCCTTTAGAATTTCTTTATTCAAAACTCTAATGTGTTAATTAATTAATTTGCATGGACCAAAAAAAAAATAATAATTAATTTGCATGGACCATTTCTTTGGTGATGGTTTTGGAGTGTTGTAGTAGCCTGCAAGCCTGTACAAATGGCAGCGGCAGGTACACAATGCACATGAAGTCATGAACCAAGTTTTTAATAGGAGCCAAAAGTAAAAGGTGGCGTGCACAAATAGGGACAGAACCCAGCTACACAAATCAGAAGAAAGCTGAGTTGATGGCCAATCTTTGCAATAGGTCGGCAACAAAGTTGGCCTCACGAAAAATTTGGTGAAAAGAAATACAATCAAAAGCATGCAAATGATCAGAGAAAATCTTCAAAAAAGAACGAAGTCTCCAACGGGTAAAGCATTTGCGAAGAATGCAGTCAATCAAAAGCTTTGAATCTCCTTCAACAATGAGCTTCTTGTATCCAGCACGATTTAGCCTGAAACAAACCAAAATGAAGAGCGGAGGCTTCAACAAGAATCACCGAGGAATGTTATGGCTTCACCGAGCCGTCGACGGTCGAACTGAAGGTAGGGATTTTCTCCTGACGGTGAGGGCTTCCCAATGGTGTTGATGGTGGTCAACGGCCAGATCGCCGACCGTCGTCCAAAATTAACGAAATTTTTTTATTGGCTAACTACGCAAATTTAAACTTTAACTAACTAACCAAAAAATTAAAATTAACAAAATAAAGATAAATTCATGAAAATTGAATAGTGAAATCCGTGGATTTCACAGGAACAATTTACACTAAAAAAATCTACCCAACCATGTTGTTGGACTTCTTTGAAAGCACAAAAACAACAAAAACTTCCCTTCAATAAAAATTAACTACTATATAGTTTACACTAACTACTATATAGTTCACACTAAATGGGAAGATTTAAGTTGCGCTACAGTGACAATTTAGATGACACGAGTATACTATTATTTAGTGGCATTGGTGCCAATGAAACAAGGACATTTAGACAAAAAATTATACATTCTTTATTTCATTAGCATGGTAAATCACTATAACAGTGTATTGGTATCATAAAAATTGTTTTGAATTACACACGAGTTAGTGTTTAATAATTAATATCAAACTCGGTGGTTAATTTCCAATAATTGCTTGGTGGCTTCGGAAATTGCTCATGCTATGAAAATGAAGAATACCGATTGGAATGGCGTGATGGCGTTGAAGCTAGATATCAGTAAAGCATATGATCACATTGAATGGTCTTTCCTTGAGCAAATGATGAAACGTTTGGGGTTTGCTGAGGAATTGATTAATTGGATTATGATGTGTGTTGCTTCTATGTCTTATTCTTTCAAGCTTAATAGGGATCCAGTGGGCCTCGTACACCCTAAACGAGGGATTCAGCAAGGGGATCCATTGTCTCTGTTCTTATTTGTAATATGTGCATGTTTATACCATATTTAGGGCCTCATATTTAGACCTCATATAAATACTCGGGGGACTTAAATGTAATTATGTAATAAAGGAAGGGGTAAATATGTAAAAAGGGGAGAAGCCCTTATTCTATAAAAGGGCCTCCTCACCCTCACAAACTCGAGGCCTCTCCTATCTAGAGCAAAGCTCTCACTCTCAAAGCTCTCTCTCCCTCACTTCTCAGAGAAATACAATACAATCAGTGTGGACGTAGCCCAAACCTTGGTGTGAACCACGATACACCTTGTGTTATTTACATTTCTTGCAGATTCATGGTTGGATTTACGTTGTTCCAAGACCTCCGGTTTTGTGCATCAACATTTGGCGCCGTCTGTGGGAATCGACACGAAAAGCTATGTCGGTTCTCTTTCATTTTTTCATCTCACCACAATATCCACTGTGAATCTGCAAAAACCCAAAAAACCCCCACAAACACAAAAGCCACCACGGCCACTCTGACTGATGATAGGCAGTACTTTGAAAAGCATGGAGATGGAAAGTGGGTCTGAACAGATGCAGGAAAAGCTGCAGACGGGGGTAGTTGAACTATTTGAATCCAAATCTCGAGAGCGGAGATTTTACAGAGATTGAAACTTTGCATTTCTCTGCGCCAAGTGCTGCAACTCCAGCTTCACCACCAAGCTTTAGAAGCCCTCCCTCCTCGACTCCCTTTCCATGGCACTCCCTTAGTCCGCCGTCAGCCGGCCAAGATGGCTCCTGCCAGCAACAGAGGCCTCTCCGTCTCTATGTTTGCCAACGGCTTGAACCCCTCGTACGACTTAAGTGCCTTCAAGTTCGACCCCATCAAGGAATCCATTGTTTCCAGGGAAATGACCAGGCGCTACACGACTGACATGATCACCTACGCTGACACCGGTGTCGTCGTAGTCGATGCTGGCTTCGCTAGGCTCTCCTACACCTATGAGCTCAACAAGAACCCCGACGTTCAAGTCGCCATAACAGAGCAATCCGTCAGCCCCAGTGGCGGTGCGCGGCTCGGTGGCCAGCTCGTCTCTGCCATGGATCCGGATCCCAAACCCCATATGACTTCCAGGCAACCCACGAGAAAATCCGGTCAACCAACCCGAACCCAGAACAAGATTTTCATTGAAAACATCTATGAGAAGCAGTTGAGAAACTGCAATCATCAGAGCAGCAGATCACAAAATTTAAACGAGGGTTCGAATTCTATGGTCTCGATTCTCCATTTTGCTATGGATTCCAACAGCAGATCACAAATAAAAAGAATATCTATATTCTTCCTTTTTTTTGCCATCTCAAAATTTCTTTCCCTTCCGCGTGATTCAAATTCGGTGGTCTCCCTCGAATTTTCAACTTTTTCTGTCCTATTTATGCTGCCCAATGGCGCAACCCCAAACCCACAACTGCCGTAGCATTCGTAGCCAGCCATAGAGCCTTCGGATAACTGCCCATGCCTTACCTGCAATCCGGGGCCGAGTTGGAAAACGGCATCCTAAGTCAAATGGGTCACGTAAGTAATGATTCATGACTCGAGCTGCGACTCGATGCCATAATAGAGGGCTTTATCGGCTAAGCTCCTGCTTGGAGAATCAACGAGCCATGGAAGAGATACGAGAAGTACTTGGCGTCGACGTTGAGCTTGATGCGGTCATTGGTGTGGGGCCCAGAAGATTTTCATTAGAAAGCCGACTGCAGCCCATCTTGCTTCGTCGCCGATTGCAACACTCCATCCCACAACTTTCTACACCGTCGGACTCTCAGGACCCTCTGCTTAATGATTCTTCTGCTGCCAGATCTGAATCCACTAGTTCAACAAGATATCTCAGGTTGATTTTCCTCTAAAATTGATTTAGTCAATGGGAATCTCTATCCTACTTGATCATCATCCTCCTCGAGTCCTGACAAGCATGGGCAGTTTGATCCAAGTGATGTCAAGACGCTTTTCAGAGCTCTATTTGAAGAATGGGCTGGCAAAATGATACTGGCCTGATAGGTATGGTGAAAAGTAAAATTGTCACTCCACTCAGTTTCACCATGTGAAGCAGGACAAGCAATAATTCAAAGAGCTCAGTGACCCATCCCCTGCATCTTCTTTACAGGGTGGTAGCCATGTGAAATCACTTTCTGAAGGCCCAGAGGATATGTCTACTTGAGCAAAGAAACGCAGTGGGAAACAGAAACAAAAGCAAAAAAAAAAAAAAACAAAGCAGAAAAGAAAAGAGAAAGTAAAAGCAAGGAATAAACACCCCACCAGAATTATGTGATTTACTTTTCTTGTTTTTGTACGGTGTAATTTATTTTCCGTATCTTTTGGAGACATTTGTATAAATTCCGTCAGAGGGTAATATGTATAAACCCCATCAGAGGGTGGTAAAAAAAAAATCGGCAAAGCCCAAAATAAATAGGCTGGAATGTTGTGTGGAGAGCAAAGGCGCATAAGCCTAAAATAGCACCAACCAGGTCATCAAAAGTACGCCTAGTACTCTGCAACTATTCGGCAACCTGCCGCTATTACTACCAACTAGGTCATCAAAAGTACGCCAGTACTCCACAATTATTCGGCAACCCGCCGCTATTACCACCAACCAGGTGATCAAAAGTACGCCCAGTACTCCAAAAATTATTCGGCAACCTGCCGCTGTTACCACCAACCAGGTGATGAAATGTACAACCCGTACTTTGATATCATTTTGGCAACTAGCCATTCATGCCACCAACTAGGTGATGAAATGTACAACCCGTACTCTAAAATCACCATTCATGTCACAAACGCGGTGATGAAATGTACAATCTGTACTCTAAAATCATTTGGCAATTTGCCACTCATACTACCAACCAGGCGAAGAAAGAACTCATCTTCATGAGCATGAGCATTACTCATGTCGTTCATACATAAACATTCATGAGCATCACTCATGACAATTATACATAAACATTCATGACCATCATTCATGTCAACATTCATGAGCATCACTCATGACAACATTCATGAGCATCACTCATGACAACATCCATAAGCATCACTCATGTCAATCAACATAAACATTCATGAGCATCACTCATGTCAATCAGCTTCAAAAGCTTCATTTACAGAACTCTAGCTTCAAAAGCTTCATTTACAAAAGCTCCATCTTCGAAAGTTTCATTTACAGAGCTCTAGCTTCAAAGCTTCACTTACAAAAGCTTCACCTACAAAGCTTCAGTGCAGGGTATACAAATACCGCCTTCGAACAACCGCCACTTCGGCCCATACATGGATTCAATTTGAAGTCTCCAACCAACAGACTCTATTGACCGAAGACTTGGGGGACTACATTATGTACCATATATTGGGCCTCAACTGGGCCTCATGAAAAATACTTGGGGGACTCTAGCCCATCATTCATGTATTGAGGAACGAGCCCTTATTTTAGGGACTCCCTCACCATCATTAGAGAGCATCAACTCTAGCCCATCATTCATGTATTGAGGAACGAGCCTTTATTCTATAAAAGGGACTCCCTCACCATCATTAGAGAGCATTAACTCTAACCTATCATTCATGTATTAAGGAGCGAGCCCTTATTCTATAAAAGGGACTCCCTCACCTTCAAACGCCGCAAGCTGAGCCAACCAAGGCAACATAAGCCATGAGCGGAGCAACCTCGCAGCGTGTGCTACTTCTAGTTGAGCGTCATTTCAGATTGAGCACTGCCTCATATCGAACACCAGTTCAAGACATCATCTAGTTACTTCGGCCCACACACGGATTGAATTTCAAGTCTCTAGCCAAAAGACTCTCTTGACTGAAGACTTAGGGGACTACTGTTTATACCATATTTAGGGCCTCGTATTGAGACCTCGTATAAATACTCGGGGGACTTAAATGTAATTATGTAATAAAGAAATGGGCAAATATGTAAAAAGGGGAGGAGCCCTTATTCTATAAAATGGTCTCCTCACCCTCACAAACTCGAGGCCTCTCATATCTAGAGCAAAGCTCTCACTCTCAGAGCTATCTCTCCCTCACTTCTTAGAGAAATACAATACAATCAGTGTGGACGTAGCCCAAACCTTGGGGTGAACCACGATACACCTTGTGTTATTTACATTTCTTGTAGATTCACGGTCAGATTTACGTTATTCCAAGACCTCCAATTTTGTGCATCAACAGTGCAGGAGGCCTTTTGGCTTTGTTGGATGATTCGGAAGCTCAATGCCAGATTCAGGGGTATTAAGGTTTGTAATGGTGCTCTAAGTGTTCATCATCTCCTCTTTGTCGATGATAGTTTTATTTTTGCCAGAAGCACTTTGCAGGAATGTTATGAATTGAAGGAGTTATTGAAATGTTATGAATTGGCCTCCAGAAAAGCAGTAAATCTAACCAAAAGTAGTGTATCGTTTAGTACGAATGTGAATGAAATAGATGCCCAAGTTCTTGCCGATTGCCTTGGTATGACTCAAGTGGATGTCCATGATCGTTATCTTGGTTTGCCGGTTTTCACTCGTCAATCTAAGAAAAAAGACGTTTGCATATATTAAGGATAAGCTTTGGAAGAAGCTTAACGGTGGCGTGGTGTAGTTTTCTCAGCAGTGTGGGTAAAGAGATTCTCATTAAATATGTGGCTCAGGCAGTCCCCCTTTATACTATGCAGACTTATTTGCTTCCGAAAACGTTTTGTGACGAGTTAAACCAGATGATAGCACATTTCTGGTGGGGAAAAGAAGCGGGGAAGAGGAGTATACATTAGGTAAGTTGGCAGAAGATGTGTAAGCCTAAAATTGACGGAGGGTTGGGGTTTAAAGACTTGTAGCTTTCAATCTTGCCACGCAGGGATGGCGTATTATTCACCACCCCCAATATCTTGTTACCCAAATTTTTAAAGCCTGTTTTTCCTACTACGGATTTTCTTCATGCTACGGTGAAGTCAAACTCGTCTTACAGCTGGAAGAGTGTGGTGGCTGCTAGAATATTGATTCAGCGTGGAGCACATTGGAGGATGGGAGATGGTTTGAATATTAAAATATAGGGGGATAATTGGCTCCTGAGAGAAAATTATGCCAAGGTCTTTAGCCCTATACCAAACGATTTTCACCCAAACCTCACCGTGCGCTCCCTTATGGTGAATTTGAACCGTGTGCAGTGGAATGAGCCTTTGATTTGCAAGATGTTTTTCAAAGAGGAGGCCAATCTTATTATGAGCATTCCTTTGAGTTTATTTGATCCCCCTGACGAGTTGATTTGGGTGAAAGAACCAAGAGGAAATTTTACAACTAAAGCACATACTTTGTTGCTCGGTCGTGTAGTGAAGTTTGCGGTGATATACCCATTGGTTCTGCTACGACAGAGGAGATTCAATTCCTTTGGAAGGCTATGTGGCTTGCTAATGTATCAAGTAAAGTAAAAATATGTATTTGGATGAGCTGTTTGAATGCTCTGCCAACCAGAGTTAATTTAAAGAAGAGGAAGATTCTTGTTGATGATTGTTGTCCCTTTTGTAACAACACTCCCGAAACAATTGAACATGACTTTCTTTATTATTCTCGAGTAGCAACGATATGGTTTTCTAGTCCATTGGGGCTACAAATGTTGCGGCACAGAGAGGTTAGATTCCAGGAGTGGTTATCTAGTTTGGCTCTTACTCTGGACAACTTTGATTTGGTGTTGGTCTTACTCTGGAAGATTTGGACTTCCCGTAATGAATTAATTTGGATGGGATCGATCTCACCACCACATGACATTCAATTACAAGCACAGACTTGTCTGATTGAGTTTAAGAAGTGGAATGTGGTTCCAAAGCACAACAAGCCCATTGACCCGCAACAATGGAGGACACCATTGGAAAGATGGCTCAAGTGCAATTTTGATGGGGCATGGGATGTTAATGCAACTATGGGTGGTGTTGGCGTTATCATTAGGAATGCAGCGAAAGAATTTGTTGCAACTTTAGCTATGAGGTTGGCAAGTATTGGGTCTTCGATGCAGGCGGAAGTTGCTACAGCCTGGGAAGCTGCTGTATTTGCACTTCAGTGGTGTGCTGACCAGGTTATCTTGGAAGGAGATACTCTGCTTGTAGTTGCTGCAATTCAAAACAATGTAGTGGTTAATCAAGGACCGTTTGGGCTATTATTGGAGGACACCAGAAGGATTATGCAGTCATTTAAATGGTGGAAAGCATGCTTTGTACGTTGAGATGCAAACTTGGTGGCTTATCGTCTAGCTACATTCAGTTTAACTTTGGATCACCCGGCTTTGTGGTTTGAGGAACCCCCTGATTTAATTTCTGATCTCTTGTTGGAGGATGGTCTTCACAGTTAACATTTGGTTGTTTGGGAATGTAGTCCTTTATTATTTTATTGGTGCGGGACACTTTTTTTCTTTTTATTCGGGTTAATTTCCGGAAAGGTTTTTACCAAGACCTTATGTTAGCACTCTTTCCCTATTTGTATGTTTGTTCCAGTTATTAATGAATATCGTACTCATTTAAAAAAAATAAAAAAACTCGTTTTATACAACCGTAGAACATAAAAACTTGTATCTCTAAATAAAGAGAATTATTACTAAATTGTGGAAGTTGCAACAAAACTTAACCCGTCCAAGAATAAAAATACAGCTCAACCCCCTTGGCCTCATTCACCCAACACCAAGTCAATAAGCCTCTGTCGGATGACAGAAATGAAAGAAAAATGTGGACGTTTTGAAAGAAAGTTAGCGTGAGACAAAGTCAACTGTATCAGGCTGCCACGCACCTACTCTGTCTCTTTCCCCTCTCTCTTAAATTATTTCTGTTTCCAATTTAATTGGTCCACACTCACACTCGCTCACATCAATCGATCGTCCACGTCAATCTCCAATCCAACGGCTCCGGCGCCACCTTTGACCAAATTGAAATTGGATAAGACTAAAGAGGACCCAAATCAAAAGCAAGGTCAAGATTCATCCGACACCAAGCATCAAAATTCTATTAGTCTAATCATTTAAACATCAAAGCAGAAGAAAAAGCAACATAATACACCACCCAAGCTTTTAGTTAGCAATTTAAGTTTGTAATTAAAGTGTTAAATTAGACTCACATAAGAGATTTATTAATAAATTGAAGAAAGGAAATTGAGGCTGTACGATAAAAAATTTTCTTTTTATTATTGCGGAATTTATTTTCAAATAAAAATTCATGATGCATTTTATTCATATTCTTCCAGTACTGGCAATAGCAAAGCTGGTGTTTTTTTTTTCGAACAAACGATATTATTATATTAAAAAATTAAAAATATAGGTTAAGTTTTACAATAAATTTGTAATAATGTGATTCAAATTTGTTTTTAACGATAATCAAACCAACAAAACTCTAGTCTACAACGAAAAAGAATACCATTAGATAGTTGGAAAACCTCTAATTTGCAATTTTGTGTGGTGTGGTTGGATCTTATTCGCACCTACATCTTGAGGCAAATGGTAGTGGCCCATCAGATTATTAGATGCCGTAGTTTTGACCACAGACGCATTTCAACAAACACCTCTTAAGCCCGTCGGCATCCCAAACCCTTCTTTATCAACACCCCTTCCCCTCTCTCCCGTACGCTTTTCCTCCTCTCTCTCTCTCTCTCTCTCTGCCTCTCTCTCTCTCTCTGCTTTCTCTGTTCTTCTCGCTTTTCCTTTTCCTTGTTATGCTCGAGAGGGTCAGATATGGCCGTTGATTTCATGGGTTACAGAAACACCATCAGTAGCAGCAGCAGCTTCTCCGCCAAGTTGGAAGAGAACGCCGTGCAGGAAGCGGCTTCCGGCCTCGAGAGCGTCGAGAAGCTTATTCGCTTGCTGTCCCAGGCACAGCAGAACCAGCACCAAGGGAAATATCCGTCGACGGCTATGGACATGGACTGCAGAGCCGTCGCGGACGTCGCTGTTTCCAAGTTCAAGAAGGTCATTTCTCTTCTTGGTCGGACCCGGACCGGCCACGCCCGGTTCCGGCGAGCCCCTTTGACTTTGAGTTCCGGATCGTCTTCTCAAACCCAAAACCAGAGCCAAGAGATCCTCGTCAAGCATGTTCCGTTACCGTTAGAGTCCACTAAGGTTTACCATGCGACGCCGATCCAGCAGATCCCGCCACCTCACCACCACCACAGTACGGTGCTTGAGAGCACTAAGGACTCATCTACCACTATAAATTTCTCATATCCAACTACGACGTCGTTTATATCGTCGTTGACCGGAGACTCCGATAGCAAGCAGCCAATGTCGTCATCGTCTTTTCAAATTACCAATTTGTCCCAGGTTTCCTCGGCCGGAAAGCCGCCGCTTTCCTCCGCCTCGTTGAAGCGGAAGTGCAGCTCCGAGAACTTGGGGTCTGGGAAGTGCGGTGCTGGGTCCTCCGGCCGCTGCCATTGCAAGAAGAGGTGGGTCTATTTCAAACTCTAATCTCTCTTAATCATCGTCTAGCTTCTGATTAACTTAATTAATCTCTCTCTCTCAATCTGTTGACTAAATTGAAATTCTGGGTTGTGGGTTTTGTTTCAGAAAGCTGAGACAGAAGAGGATCGTGAGAGTTCCGGCTATAAGCTTGAAGTTGGCCGATATCCCACCTGACGATTACTCCTGGAGAAAGTACGGACAAAAACCCATCAAAGGATCTCCACATCCAAGGTATAATTTCGATTCGAAGCTTCGATCTGTCGAGCTAAATCGCTTCAGTTGGACGTTTTCTGGCCCCAAAACTCTGAATTATTGGGGAGTTCATGTTCTGATTTGTGTGAATTTTCAGGGGATACTACAAATGCAGCAGTGTAAGAGGATGCCCGGCTCGAAAACACGTAGAGAGAGCTCTGGACGATGCGGCAATGCTAGTGGTTACCTACGAAGGCGAGCACAATCACTCTCTCTCCGTTGCAGAGACCTCCAATCTTATTCTAGAATCTTCTTAGATCATCAAAATTGAAGCTTTTGTGTTTCAGTTTCTTTTTTCTTCTTTTATGGAGGGAAATTAATGGTAGCAGGCAGTACTGGTAGTGGTAGTGGTGGTAGTTTTTACAGTTCCGACTCGGTTTGACTCGGTTGGTCTCAGTTCCATCTCGAAGGAGATGATGAGTTGAGTCAAATTGGTTCATTGTCCTGTACAATATGGGGATTTCCTTTTTCTCTTGAAACACCGAGTTAAATCTTTATTTAAAAAAAATGAAGATGGTGGATTTGGTGCTACTAGTGATTTATTGTTCTTTTAACAAAGAAGTAGTTTAAATTATTTTAATTTCTGGAGACGGAAAATATGTTGTTATATTTAACTGATCCAACTCACGTTTCCGTGAATCAGCGTAATTGCGAAGAGGTTGATAATTTAGTACGTGGATTGATTGCTTTTACTTTGGTTCTTGTATTTGGATGGATCCCTACTTTTTCCTCCATCACCCAAAGTTTGAGTTTTTTTTTTTCGTTTGAATAGTTTCGTGGGGAAAGGAGAAAATTCAAAGAAATGAAAGGGACTGGGTCAAAGAAATGGGAAGAAGTGGACCAACATGTCGTATTTGTGACGGTTGACCAAAGGCAACTTGTTGGGTAAGGCTAATTAAGTGAAGGTGGTGGGTATTGGTTGGAGTGGGATTATTTAGAGAGAGAGAGAGAGAGAGAGAGAGAGAGAGAGAGAGAGAGATTTGTGTTTGGTTCGTGAGAAAATGGTTGGATGAATTTGGAGGGAGTTGAAGAGAAAATAGTTGGCCTACAAAAAGGAGCTGTGACCGTAAAGTCTTTCAAAGAGACAAAAGATGGTGTTGGAGTTGAAGCTTTTGATGTGGGGAGGAAAATTAAAGCTCAAGTCAAAGTTTGTAGGTGAGCAATTATTATTATTATTATTTTTTATTGTTTTGCAATGCCTTTGCCTCAAAGTAGTAAATAATAGTAGGAAAATTAATGTTCAAGTCAAAATTTGTGGGTGCGCAGTTCATACTTTTGAACATTTATGGGGGCCCAATTGGTGTCGATTTGGATTTGCACTAATTTGTTCTTTCTTTGCATTTGGCTTTGCCTAAAAAATCAAACCTTGCTATGTAAGTATATATATGGTCCCCATGGTCCCCAAGGGAAGAGATCCCCTGCGATCCCAGTTCCCAAGGTGCTCCATCATTATCAATTCCTCATCATTTACACGTGTCTAGCTCAAATACACAAGCCCTCATGAAATGCTAAGTAGACTCTCTTAAGGAGAGTCATAATTTTTTAGTGAGTATCCTTAGGCCATCTCTAACTGATGGCTGGTTAGAGAGTTCATTTAAGCTTTCTGGCATTCCAAGATTCTTAAAGATATTAATATTTTAATAAACAGTACATGATTATATTTGCCTCCGTCTCCAACCGATGGCCAAAGGGCTCGATAACTCTTTTTAACCCTGTCACAAAAAACCAAGGGCCAAAGGCCATAGAGCCAAACATAATTTATTATTTAAAAACTACAACTTAAATATTGTTTAACTTTCATGTTATTAAATTTTTTTTTTTATGTTGTATAATTTTTATGTTATAGCCGACCCCACTTAGTGGGAAAAGGCTTTATTGTTGTTGTTGTTGTTGTTGATAATTTTTATGTTGGTTAATGTTATTTAATGTTGTTTCATATTGTTTAATGTTGTTTCATGTTACTTAATTTAATTTAATGTTGTATAATGGCTTAGGAAGTTATAGGAAAAAAATAGAATTAAAAAAAAAATACGAAACAAATTTTGTGAAATAGAAGTTATAGGAAAAAAATAGATTTTAAAATAAAATGAAACAAATTTTGTGAAATAGAAGTTATAGGAAAAAAATAGAATTTAAAATAAAATGAAACAAATTTTTGTGAAATAGAAGTTAATAGGAAAAAATGAAATTAAAAAAAAATATGAAACAAATTTTGTAAAATAAAAGTTATAGGAAAAAAAAGGAATTTAAAAAAATGAAAAATAGAAGTTATAGGAAAAATTTTGTACATAAAAAAAATTCAAAGCATTCCTATCGGTTATAACTGATAGGAAATCCAACACATTTAAAAAAAATCTAGCTAGCCCCGGGTTGGCTGGTTGGTTGGAAGTGGCCAGCCCTCTCCGATTCCGTGGGGCCCTCTTAGATTCCCTAGCCCTCTGGCCTGGCTCTCGGTTGAAGACGATTTTCGGGTTATTTTTGGTCATCTGGACTCTTCGATTGGAGATGGCCTTAACATTTTTGATGCCATAAACTTAAAATACATAATTGTTGTCGACATGACAAAATTATTGCATTCTATCGTAATATTGTCACGTGAGGTAATAATTCCTTCTAATTGCTCTACGCAATAAAGCTATAATGTACTAGTAGTTGATGACCAGCTACGAGGTCTTGATTTTTCTGATGACCTTGTGTAGAGCAAGAGGAGAACAATAAGAGTTTAATGACAAGCCTTTTAGGTAGTTTAACTCGCCTAATCCTTATCACTCGCTAGTTTTGTTTGGCCATCTTTCTTCCTTGCTTATGTGCTACAATGGGTAGTTTCTTCAATAATCAAATATTGATTTTCTTTAGAAAAATAAAATAAAACACGTTATGTACGCATAAATGAATTGTAAATGTAAATGTAGCAAAATGTTCCTGTTAAGACAATTTTGTTTCTATTAAGACAATTTTTTAGAGAAAGACAATGACTTTTTGTTCCACTTATAAATAAGGTCTTGCCTTAGTAGATAGTTTTTCTCTTTTAACACATCGTGTTTGATGTTTAAACTTTTTAATTTCTTTGATGTAGTTTAGAATCGCTCGGAAAAAAAAAAATACTAAGGAGATTCTTTTAAAGTAGAACTATCTATGAACTTTTCGTCATCTCATAATTTAATGTCAATTTTCGTGCTAACATTATAAGTATTTGTGCCAAAAACATAAGTTGGCAGAGAGTCTATGGAGAGGTAAGAAGACTCTCTTAAAAGTGAAACTCTCCATGAACTCTCTGTCACTTCATATTTAACAGAATATTTTATAATATTGATACGGAAATTAAAATAAAAATATGAGAGCACATGAAAAGTCTAACTTTTGACTGGAGCCTTCTTAGTCCTCTTCAAAGAAAAATACGAAAAAAAAGTCTTCCACCCGACATGGGGCATTTATTTACTTGAAGGATCAAAGATTAAGAAAAGTAATGCGGAATTTGTACTCAAATCGAATACTTCTTAATAATTTTATTTTTAAACAAACGATATTATCTAATAATGTAGAGGTGGACTTAACCTCATAATAAGCTAGTAATAATATGGTTCAAACTCGCTTTTGATGAAAATCGAACTCATAATAGGCTAGCAATAATGTGGTTCAAACTCACATTTGACGAGAATTGAACTTAAAACATCTCACTTACAAGTGAAAAATGAATATCACTATATTATAGTACTAAGTGACAATACTCCAAAGTAATTAGATTATAGCCTGTTTGTGGAAGTCAAGACTCTTACTTTTCCAATCATTACTTATTTAATCTCTCAACAGTTTATTAGTCCATCTTAATCTTTTCGTTAATCCCGATGGCTCATTAAGTCAAGTTTTTGTATTACAAAAGAGAAATGCTAAGAAAACTATCTCAAAAGTATGATTCTTCATAGACTCTTTGCGACCTTTTATTTTTGGTATAATTCTCATACTAATATTATAAAATATTGTGTCAAAACATATGATGATGAAGAGTCTACGAAGAATTCCATTTTAAAAAAAATCTCCGCAACATTTTTCTTACGAAAATAATTCATTTCCTTAATCCCGGCATTCGTATTTCCACAATTGGATTTAGTGTAAGGTAAAATACAACCCCGGAGAGGGAAGTTTTCTTAATGATCACATTTTGACTAGTTTATTATGTGAACCCCCACACCCTACTCAATTTTATAAAAAGAACTAAAACGACCCACTCTTTTAAGACTTTAATGTTAGGTATATTCTTAGATACGGGAAAATTACGGCACCTTCAAATTTCTTTAAATTATGAACTACGTTAAGGGGCAAGAGGTGGCCAGAAAAAAATTAGTGTCGAGTCATAGACGAAATAGTTGGCGGAAGTTTGAGGCGGGGGATGGGAGGAATTTGATCAAAATCGCGATCTGCATCTTGAGTGGCAAATACCAATGTTCCAAGACTTCAATACTTTTCGTAGAAGCTCTCAGATAACCATGAATCCTACATCATAAAAAAAATAAAGTAATTAAAGAAATAAACATATACCGGTTAAAGGAAAACAAAAGTAAAAGAGATAATACTTAAACAAATATTTAAACAGATAACTAGAATAACAGAAAAGCCTTTGCACTGAAACAAAAAAATGAAGTCAGACAAAATTAAAAAACTGAAAGGCTATTTGACTATAAATAAAATAGAATAAACACTAAATAATAATAATAATAAATAAGCAACGTTTTGAAGGCCCAATTTGGTTACTTCAACGGGCTTTTTATGTATAACGTGAAGCCGTTTCCAACTTCGCGAGTACTGGCGCATTGTTTGCTATTACTAAATTTTACTGGAGTGGACTGGCATAACTAGAAATATTATTTTACTAGTTTGTGTTTAGTGTGAGTAAGAACCAACTTTAATAAGACTAAATCGGACTCGTGTGAACTAGGTCGACATAGCGAGAACTTTTGAAAAGAAAGGGATCCGAGGATCCCTTCCATCAAATCCACCAAATCCTCTAATCCGAGCCCTTGAAATTTGATCTAACGACTAAAGTTATTATAACTTTTAAAGGAGGCCCATGTTTGTAGCCGTTAGATCAAATTTCAAAGGCTTGGATTTGTGAATTTGGTGGATTTGATGGAAGGGATCTAGAGAGGATCCCTTTCCTTCCCGAAAAGTATGAGATTGCTTATCCTGTCTCCAAACCTGTGTCATTGCACGCCAACGTAGCATCATTTGCAACAACAACTCCTAACCATGCACATATTTGACACCACCCACCCACAACCTAAATCACAAAATTCAAACCCAAAATATTAAACGAAAAAGCAAAACGCCCTCTCTCGTATATAAACTTACATTTCCCTGCGATTTACGAGAGAACAACAAAACAATAACAACAACAATCCCAATAGAAAAGTTATCCCTTTTCCCAGAAAAT